GGTTTTGTTGATCGTACAACACTGGGATCAGCAGCTTTTGCAGGTGTGTCTCTCAGAAGCTGTAGCTTGTGGTTACCGGCTCTGCTCTGTCACCCCTGGCACTCCAGGGTACTAAAAGTGGCCAGCCACTCCCACATCTCAGCCCCAGGAAAGCCCGGATTCAGGCAAATTTGGGAGTTGCTGCCTCACGTGAAAAAAAACCCAAACAAAAACACAAACCCAAAAGACAGCACCAGCTAAGTAATCGAAGGCAGCTGACCAGCCATGTAAATACTCACTCCCTCTTCCAGAAAAAAATTCCAATACTGGGTGGCAGGGCAGGCTACAATTTAACATGTTTTTTTTGGTTTTTTTTTTTGTTTTGTTTTGTTTTTAAAGTCGCTGTTAGTACCGGAAAAACTTTCAGGACAGACTGTTTTGTTAGCTGTGACTTTCGGGGCAACAAGCTAAAAAATCGATTGGCTATATCCCTTTCACCAGCATTGCCAATCACTCTACATTTGGCCAAGTTCATCAAATCAACTACGCATGTTCTTCAGAACGTAGCTTTAGTTTGCCATGATGGAAAAGTACGCTGGAACTATTGAGGACAGGTGCACCAGTCACAGGATGTCAGCTGTAGAACAACTGTCTGATCAGAGGAGCTCCAGTTTCTTACCTTGCTTTAAGGTTTTAAACAGCGCAGTTGATCAGTATGGTTAGTAGACATGCAGAGCCTCTGTACTCTCCCTTCAGGGAGCAGCAGAGGCCGTCCAGAGGAAAGTTGAACTACAAATTCAAAAAACTGAACCAAGACAAAGGTCACTTACCTCATCAATTAACTTCCTGGCATTCGCAGTTGTGTAGTCACCAGCGAAAAACACGGCCAAACACGATTCATCACTGCTTTTCTGTCTCCGCCCTCGAGTTACTGGTATTATGCTCTTTACAGCATCAGTAGAAATTCTGACAGCTTTCAGCTCCTCAGAGCTGGGCAGAGGAACATAATCTTGGACAACCGCATCCTCAGGCAGAAGGCCCCAGTTATTTTCTCCTGACACAGGGGTAAAGTCATGGATGTTGCTCCACGTGTTATTGAAGATACTCAGCCCAGCATCTTTAAATTGCAAAGCAAGCTCAGGATAATAGTACTGGAAACATCCAAATTTCATACCTGTGGAGGACTCAATGATGGGCTGAGTGGCACAGCACAAGAATACCTCCAACTTTCTGCAGTCCCGAGTGCGAAACTGTTGGCAGGCCACTACGCACTTACAATCTTTGCAGTCACGGAAAAACACGCTGCCTTTTATCGGTCCTAAAAAGATTTGGCAGTTCACACAGTCATCAATAGTGATTGTGGCAGAATGGTCAAATATGTAGATACTACAGTTCTCACAGTCCTGAATGACAAATTGTTGCCCTGCTACTTTTCCAGGCAGTCGACCCACAGTTTTGTCTTTAAGTCCAGAAAAAGTGTAGTCTTTGGGGTCAATCTGAAGGAAGAAGGAAAAAAAAAAAACACCAAACATGAAAGTCTTTGCATACAGAGAATATTATAATGCCAAATGTCAACTGACTTGCATTAATCAAGGTAGCACAGAATTGTACAGGATAACGTGCTAGAAAACTCTTCAACAAGTGATGAAAGATCAGAAGCCACTCTTTTAGCTAAACTACTGGAATGCACAGTATTGAGGTACACCAAAGAATTGAAACTACACTTCTGAGATGCTTCAGAAAAAAAATAAACTAACTCAGTTTGTCCTCTAATGAAGAAAAGGGGTGGGGGAGCTAGTTTTCTCTCTAGACTCTAAGCTGTTTCAACAAGGATGATGGTCCTGGGTATTATCGTAACAACTGTAATAAATGAATTGGCCAACATACTTACACACTGATAAAGCTAGAGACACTCAGTATTTCCTTTTCAAGTGGCTTTCTTGGTCATATTTTACCACACCTCAACATGCTGCAAGGAAACCTTGCTGCTTGCAAGCAGTATCACCTTTCTTATGTTTGCAACCTACAAAGAGCTCGCTTATCTGCGCCACAGCGTTATCTTGTGCTAACAACTACAAGATTCTTGTGCTAACAACAGCTACGTGATTGTTTTAGCTACAACCAACAAGGAAACGCCGGCAGTGGTGGTGCAGTGCAGGGGGCACATTTACAGACCTCTCCCCCTCCACGCTCCAGCATCCCCCCCAGCTGGGGAGGGACAACTGAGACAGGCTGTGGCTTTCCCTGGGACTCTCTGTTGGGGTGCAGCACCCAGGACTGTATGCAATACAGGTGGACAGCATGGATAATACAGCCCATGCTGTCATAACACCGAAGGAATTTGAGCTGGCTCATTTCTAGATATACGTAAGTCTCAAGACAACTACAATTCCCAGAACAAATTCTACTCTGCCCTCTTGTGAAAGCTTATTAAAATAGCACTTAGAAGCATGCAAGTACCAGAACTAGTCTAACACAAGACCACTTCACAAACCTGCTCTTTGATTAATCGGCCCAAGGGCCCTAAAGTTTGCTGCACTGTAATCAGTGTTAATGCATTACAACAGTTTCTGTATTGTCCATTTTGTAAGAAAATCCTCCTCCTCCCCAGTATTTCAAATATTCGCATGAGATTCAGAGACCAGAAAAAGGCATAAACCAGGATGGGCTAGTGCCAGACGTTCACTAAACCAGCTCAGCCTAGGTAGCTTTTGTCCGGAACAGCTAATGGAAGCTAAAAGTCTCTACCAACCCATAAAATGTCCTCCTTCATATACAACATATCTGACCGCTGGACAGGAAAGAAGGTTTGCAGCTGATGAATCTAGCAAATAAAATGGAGATTGAGACAATGAAGATGGCTTCCCAGAAATCTCCCTTCAATCATATTTAATACTACTAGTACACAACCAGGAAAGTTACTTGGAAGAGTCACAAATAAAATTAGGAGGCTCAAATGATAAGGGACACAGCATGGAGACTCAGCCACACAGTACGATTAGGGTTCAAACCCCCTAAACTCTTGAGTCTCATATATATGGATTAAATACGTAACATTACAAGAGATTTATACTCATATTCTCTCATACTTGAGAATATAAGTATCAAAATTGCTTTTGGACACATTCTTCCCATGCTTCTCCTAGAACATTTATGTATATATAAGGTCGTTGGGGTTTTTCAACAACCTTAGGAGGCAGGCTTACTGCCTTCAAAACAGGGTACAGAGGAACAGCTACTTCTCTTAGGAAGGGGAAGTTCAGAGTTTCAAAGTGAGCTGTAAGTTCCGGAAAGTTAGCACCTAAGCATGTCCCTCTAAATTGCTCTGTTCTAAAAAGTCTCTGAAGCTGCACTAGCTCGTCCTACATGGCAGCCTTTACAGCAAACTGTGAAACTTCAACTTCACCTTGCAATTTTATTTAGGCCCAGATAAAAACACTGGTTAGTCAACTAATCCACAGCTTACAGACAGTTTCAAACGAGAGCGCTTGAGAGACAGTAGTAGTTGAGTTTGACAATTTAAAAAAAAAAAAAGTCAGCTTATTACCAGATTCAGAAGCTCAATTTTATTTCCCTGACATGAATCAAGAGTTCTGCCCTGACACAACACTTATTCTCAGTTCATTCACCACACTAGAGAGTTAGCCAATTTCCTTTAATTTTGCTTCCCAGTTTCCCTTTTAAAGCCCAAGAGTATTTATTGACTAACACTGCCATACAGACTGGAGGGACTGAACAAAATAGATTTAAAAAACTCTCTCCCCTCACTGGGTTATTGTCCTGGCAAGGAGGGACAACCCAAGAGACTGTAGCAGATCTGAATGTTTCACTTCCCCTGGGTAAAAGAAACGTGTCAGAGAAAAGAGAGTGAAGGCAGAACTCTTTGCCAACAATTTTGAGGATGCATCCAGGAGCTGTTAACATGCTTATCACAGAGTTTCATGCTCACAGTCTTTGAAGTCTGCAGCTATCATCAACAGGTTAACACTGAATCACTGCGTCCACCTTCCTTCCCCTGACAGTCAGCACTAACTGCTTCCTAAGCTCTGTCTCAGAAACATAGCAAAAAAGCAGGCTAGGAAAACCAAAATCAACAGAAGGCAACATCTGTAGCCTCATACAACCATAACCAGAACTATGTAGATTTCTCTGACTGTTCATCTGGTGTAACTTCTGCTGTAAAACTTTTGTCCAAATCCATCCACCTCACCCAGACAGACGCTTTACTCCCCATCTCTTAATACACTTTTAAATGCCTTTTTTCCCCCCAGGCTGGTATAAGTCCAATGATGACAGAATATAGAGAGGCAACTTTTAATGCTTTCAGATGAATTTAAAGAGTTTTTGGAGTAGATAAGAGTCCTGCATTAATAGATATGGGGCACAGCTCAAAAGCTGAAACCTTCTAACAGAAGTGCTAAGCACAGGTTCAAGAATTACTCCATAGTGTGACTTAAAATAACCAGATAAGATGACAAAAAAGTAATTCCTGCTTACGCAATACTCCTTCCCCTCAACAGAGGTACAGCAGTCTCATCTCTGCTTATCAGCGATGATATTGGTGATAAGTTTCTTACAAAGGACTGGAGGACAAATTGTAAGGAGCGGGGATTTTAAAGAGCAAAGAAAGGAGAGAAGCGAAGGCAAACAAAAGTTTGTCATAGTTGCTTTGAACTCTAGGAAGTTCTGCTGCAACAGTGTGCAGGTGTGTTAGGCAGCTTTCCTTCCTGCAAACGCTTATCTTGCAAGAAGGTCAGAGGCCACACATGAAGGCTGCAGATGACGTACATCTCTTCATCCAGTTTATTGGCACCAAGACTAGGCAGCTCCCATTTGGAAGACGACTTGGAAGTACTAGACCCTCACAGTTTTTAGTGGTCACTGTGCCTAGAATCACCAACAGCTTTCTAAACTCTTTCTGGTATGAGTTCACGTCTTAACAAGACTTTTTCCACCAGGTCCATCCGGAAAGGAGTTTTAGTCAGCAACGATATGCCACCACAAACACAAGAAAGTACTGATGTTCTTAATGGATTATGGTTCTCCCCTAGTTACCTGCATCTAGCCTGCTGGGCAAACAATAATTTGTAAAGTCTTTCTAAACCACTTACACTAAGGTCTTCTCTTTCAAACATCATTCTCAAAAAATCATTCCCTGTCTCTGAATCACAACAGAAGGCAATTGAGCTATGGACTTACATAAAGTTGACAACATAAAAGAGTTGGCTGCTGACCCAGTGACATTAAAAGCTGCAGCTACAGGGTAGGCACACTATCTTAAGAGGCTTTATGTGCTATTTTTGTCAGTAGGGGAATTAACAGAAAGGAAATAAGCAACAAAAGTGCATTCCCAGGCCTAGACATTTCTGCATATTCATACTTGCATGGGTTTGGTGCCCTTAAGTACTGAGTTGCAACATTCTCTGAAGACTATTTGTTGAAGTTACTCACCTCTGGCATATTTCTAGACTTTTATGCAACAAGAAAAGGTGGGAAGAGGGACAGTATGTGCAGGTTCCCGTCACTAGCATACAGTTTTTCATCTTGGAGCATTTCCTGCACACCTCGATCTCAAATGTGGCCAATACAACAGTCTGAACGCACATTTCATTCTACTCTTCGTAATCTTCCCCCTCTTCCAGAGTACCCATAATAGCATAAAATGGTCATTCTCATACTTTCTGAGCAGCAAACCTATCCTGCAGATAGGAGAAGAGGAAAAAGAAAGGATGTCTGTACCTGACTTAACTGGAAATATTGTTTAATACGAACCTGCTGACTGTTTCTCAGTTGACAGACTACATTTTGAAAAATACAGCAGCAGCTCTTCTAGCGCACTGGGAAGCGTAAGGGAGACGCATTGGATTTAAGGACAAAATAGTTCATTGTTTAGTTAGAGAAAAAAAAAAGTTGTTTTATTTATATTCCAAAATATAATTCAAAGCAACTACCTAAACAAGATCTAAATAGCTGAAGGCGCCCACGACAACTCAGAACATTCTAGCAGAACATTCATCCTCAAATGTATGGTAACTAACAAAAGACTATCTATGATTTACATAGAACATTAAACCTCTGAGCTTTTTTAAACTGTTTGAAGAGAGCCATCATAGCCTGATACAGCAATGATAGCTGCATGCTTCCTATCGACTAAAGCAGTTAAGTTGCAAGTCAACTGACATAAAACAAAACCTTACTTGTTCCTTCTAAAAGAAAAAATTATCTGGGAAGGAAAGTCCCTCTAAGCTTTAAATGCCATTGCAATCATAATTAATCTAATCCTACTTCCCTGAACACGAGGCAACAGCAAAAAAGACCATGCAGCTTTTTGCGTTTCTTCTCCTGCAGAGAAGGTCACAGCGCACAGCCACCGCAAGACACTAAACCCCAGTTCCTGTCTATATGTACCCACATCCAGTCACTGCTGTAGTTATCACTTGGTGACGCATGTAAACAACGTTAGTCACACAGAAGGTAGTAAGGCAGGAAAGGAAAG